ACAAGGAGCGGGCGGCCGGTGGCCTCACAGGGCCCATCCTGCGGGTGAGGAAGGCCGGGGCTTCACGGGGAAGCGAGGGCGGCCGGGAAGGCAGAAGGGGCCTTGGGCACCGGCTTTCCAGAGACCGGGCCGGCCCTCCCTGTGCCATCGTGCGGCCGGGAAAGCCTGCCTCCCGGAGCGCAGGGACCCACCCCCTCCTCCCTCCCTGGCCCTCTCCTCCTCTGACTGCTGGAACCGGGAGCCCCCTGGGCGAAGCGCCGGGTGGCTCCAGAAATCTTTACAATACCAAATGAGATACAGAGAACCTTTTAACATCGGGCAAGGGAACTGCTGTTGGTGGCTCTTAAAAAACCTTCACTCTGCAGTGCCCACGCGTGGGGTTTTCTTTTCGTTTACTCTTCCCCTTTACCTCCTGGCTCACACCTGCCTGGTGACATTCATAATTAGCAGGCGGCCGCTCCAGCCAGCCGAACCGTGCGACCCTGCTACGCCTGTGGCGCGCCTGTGTTCACAACCCCGCAGCCTCCCCCACCCTTCCGCACCATCTCTCCCCCTCTCAGATGACAGACCCTCCAGTGCTGGGCTATTTTGCCTCCTCCCCACGGCTCTCAGCACCTCTTTACGAGCCGGAAGGCACCAGGGCCCTCCATCCAGAGAATCCCCCCCGTGCTGCAGCCTGGCACTGGGCCCTGGACGCCAGGGTGGGTTTCTCAGCTGGGCCGGGTTAAAAAAATAAAATAAAAAAAAAAACACCTAAGGCCAGCTTCGGGGTCCTCTGTCTGCCTCCTGGGTGCCCAGAACCTTTCGAAAACCGGGCCGTCCGGAGCTGGGTGGGACTCTACAAACAGGGCCCCTGCGCAGGGCAGGTGAAAGTGCCCCGGGCGGCCCGGCTCCAGGGAGACGAGCGTGTGGCGGCCCCGTGTCTGCTGCGGCTTTGACTGTTGGCTCCTGTCGCATTGGTTTTTCTGTCTGCAGGAGAAAGCCAGGTTGGTTCCTCCAGATGGGTGGCTGGGCGCGCAGGGCTTCTGGATGGGAGTGGCAGACAAGGTGGGACGGCACCCAGTTCTCTGCCCTCCTCGTCACCCACCTGAGGCTCAGCTGGGAGACAGGAAACTGAGTCACTGCTGGCTGGCTGCTAGATCTCGCCAAATGGCGGACTCTCCCCCTCAGGCGCACAGCTGGTGATCGGTGGGGCCAAGGGACCGCTTCTGAGAGGAAAAGCCGCTTAGAGGAGCCCCTCCCTGTGCTGGCTGCGGTGAGGCAGGGGCAGGATGGGAGGGAGGCCGTTGCCAACACATCCATCCGCCTGGGCCCTCTGACCTGAGCCCGAGGGGGTGGACAAGAAGGGAAGGGAGGATCAGAGAAGAGAAGACAGAGCACCCCTGTGTGCCAGGCGCTGTGCTGGGCCTCAGGGACCCGGCACAGAGGAGCACGGGGACGTGCACCCTGATGGCCGTAAAACAGATTTAGGGGCGGTGGCAGTAAGGACCTTCCTGCAAAGACTCTCTAGACTCGGCCTCTTGGGTTTTCAGGTGGAGGGTGATGATGGCGTGGGTAGGTGTGGGGAAGACGGGCCAGGGCACGGTGGTGGCCACAAGTGCCTTAGGGGCTAGCTTTGCTAGGACGTGGGGACCTGGTCAGCCCCCCGCACAGGGAACCAGGTGCCCTCAAGCATGCCCAGACTGCCCTCCCAGCATAAGCCGGGCACTTTAGTAACAGAGCGCGAGGGGGCAGTGACAGTGGTCTCAAAAAGCCCAGGGCCTGCCGGGCTCTCCAACGGGGAGCAGGGCGGGAGCTGCCCCCAGACTGAAGGTCTGCCGTCTTCAGGGGCGACATGGAGAAAAGCCTGGCTTTGCCCCTGCGGCATCGGGGGCCTTAGGCACACCTACCATCCCGCTTACAGTGAGAATGCGGGTCTGACCCCAGCAACAACAGAATTTCCAAAACCAGAGAGAAACAATATATTAAAAATGCAGAGGTGGGGGGAGTAAGGGGTGGGGAGGGGGGGGTACCCAAGAGCCAAGGGAATCTTTTTGTGAGTGTTTCTAAAGAAGCAGGCGTGGATATTTCAGGCAACTACTTGGACCATTTCAAAAGAAATGGTAAATGCTTAAAAACACAGAGTGAAAAATGCCCCAGGCAGCCGTCAACCTGGCCGGGATGGATGGATTGAGCCGGAAGTGCCGAGTGCTTTGAGTGGGAAAGAGGGCCCGTGGTGGGACAGCAGAAGGAGCTCAGCGGGGCAGGGGCCCTGGCACGGAGAGCAGGTTGGGGGGGTGGGGGTGGGGGGCAGCCAGGGACCCGCCGCAGGGGGCGGGTCACCCTCCAACCTCCAGATCCAGACTCTGAGAAGGAGTGCTGGGGTATGCACTTCCTCTCCCGGTGCCTCTTGGATACTGAGGATGGGACCCTGGCAGCATCTCCGGTGGCCCCAGCAGTTCTTTGACGGGGCTGGGCCACCTGACGGTGGGATGGCCCTGACCTGGGGTTTTTCAGGGGACACTGGTCGTTTTGAGCAACCCAGTCAACATCTCTTGATATCTTCCTTACGGGGCCCTGGGGTATGATAAAGTAAGGGGGAAACCAGGACCTTCTAGTCAAAGAACCAGGCTTTTGGCCGAGGCAGGAAAATAATCTGCCACATCCCCATCAAGTGCTTGAATGCTCCCAGGGACAGAGGGCTCACTATCGAACTCCTCCGCTGGCCCAGAGTTTCTCTTCCCTGACCTTCAGCGTTCCCTTTAGGACTGGCCACACTCTGCTTTCACCGCAGCACCGAATGAGTCACAGGCCTGCCCTGGGACAGAAAGGAGGCAGAAAAGCTCATGGCCCTAGAGTCTTAGCCTCTAAGGAACTAGCCTAACCACTTCACCTCGCTTTTCACCCCGAAGGCAGACAGAACCTGGAGGGCAGGGGCAGAGCCTCTGCTGGGAGCTGGGACTGCTTCTGAGTGACCTGTGTAGGTCAGACGTAACCCCCCCCGGGCCCAGAGGCCCCCTGCACGAGGCACTGGAGGAAGGCAGAACTGCCTTCCCTGAGGGTAGTGCTTGAGCCCAGTCTCTGTCCAATGCAGCGCCGTTTCTGAGCACTCCAGCCTGCGTGGTGTCGGCCGCCATGGACCCCCAGCTCCTCCTGGCGCTGTGCAGGGGCAGCCCCCGAGCCGGGCCGGAAAATCCCCGCTTTGCACAGTGCCACGGGGGACAGGTTCATAAAATGCGAAAAAATCCCCCGTTCCCTTCACCTCCAAGGAGTTTAATCTCTTCTAATCAATTTAGCAGACTCGCTTGGTTGTAAACGGTAATGATTTGCATTTTTGAGCCTTTTTATCCCTCCTTAAGAAAAAAGATGCCTCCTCTGTCTGCATTCTGGAAGGCCTGTGCAGGGCTGTGAATTGCTTGTTAGCACTCACTCTGGCGCCAATCCAGCTCGGGGCCTCCGCCCATCACCTGCACTGATCTGAGTGCAGGGAGGGGACATGGACGCCTGGGATGGCCACAGCTGAGCCTGGCTGTGTTCCTGGCCCCGAGAGCAAGGTCTGGTCCTTGGGGACACAGGCCGCTGTGCACCCTGAGGCCCCTCCTTCCAGCAAACGCCCCAGCTCTCTCCTGGTTGCCTTCCCAGCTCCGTTGCGCCCTGTCTGCCGCATCCAATTTTCCTTGTTGTATTTTTCATAAGCGTGAGGCTCAGAAGCCCCGTCCTTCTCCCTGGCGTGTTCCACAGGAAGCAGATTTCTAGAGTGGAGTGGGTTGGCTTTGGGACTTGAGCTGCCATTGGTAGTGGGGGGGGGGGTGT